TCACGATCGGATCGCTATCCGATCTCAGAAAACGCATGAAGTGGCGCTTCTCGTCCAGTGTGCTAAGAAACCAGTAATCAGACATCCCAAGTCTCCCGGAAGTTCCGGGAGTCTCCCGCATATTGATAGCGTCTCCGGTCTCCCTGATGCCCGAAGCGAAAATTAGTTAAAATCTCCCGGAATAGAGTTATGTGCCTCGCGAAAGCTAGTCAACCCCACCCCACACAAAAAACATTTTTTTTTTTTTTTGTGTGTGTGTGGAAAAAAAGTGTTGTTGTAACGTTAACTACCAGAACTGCTAAGTGCAAGTCGTATATTACTACTGTTGTTATTATATATTACTGTTGCAAATTTGTCTAATATACGAGTTTAAACTTTGCTCTGGCTCTTTTGAAAAATACTCAATTTTGTTTTGTTTGTTTGGCTCTTCTTGGTAAAAAGGTTCCCGACCCCTGATCAAAGACTAAATCTAGATCCGATTCTGGTGTGGGTTTCCCGTACAACTAACTTATGCTGCCCTACAAAGGCAAAGTGCAGTAACTAACGTTACGCAAACAAAGAAACGGAGGAAAAGGCCTTTAAAGTTTTTATACCAGCCAGTCAAACATGTTATGGGTAGATTATGTGATAATGCATCTCCGAAACAGGACATAATTTAACCCAGATATTTTTTCACAAGACAGACATGCCATGAAGCCCATTACAAGTCTTAACTCATTTTTGACCAAATATCATATGTAATTTTAGTTACTGCGCTTTGCCTTTGTAGGGCAGTGTGCAGGGCTGCCAACTCTCACGCATTGAGTGTGAGAAAATTCTCACGCTACTACACCCCCGATTTCTCATGCTAAAGTGTCAAGCCGGTCACTAAAATACCTGAAAAGATGAGTTTATCTATAGTTCCACCCGTTGAGCCACTCGTGATCGACTAGTTTTACCGCAAATTAGTTAAAATATCCTCTAATCTAGAGAGAACGTGCATAGCCTACGAGACAGATGTTGAGTTTCTAACGGCGCGGACGCAAAGCCAGGACTGGAGCCAAAGCCCGTTCCTCTCTGCACTCTAAGCGTTCTGTTATCACTCCACTACGGGTTTTAAAAGATAATCTTGTTTTATTTTTTTATATATAAAAAAACTGCTCCGTGTCCGATTTTAAAAGATAAGTAAATCTTATTTTTTTGTTTTTATGTATCACGTCTGAATACTCAATGTAATGGCTTGGAAAGTATTCTACACGTTTAATTCATTTTCCAGCTGCCTTTGCACCCAGGTAAGAACAATTATACAAATTCTACGAACACTTTTAGTTTGCTAACAAAAATATCATTGTCATTGAACTATGCTGATAATGACCGACTTGCGACCATAGTTGCATAGTTTTGTATACAGTAGTTGCCAACGATGCTTTCGGGAAACGCACCCAGAATGATGATCAAAAAATAGTAACTACACGGCATGGTAGCCTACTGTATGCGTGTATCAATGTATTCGGAGTAAACAACCCTGATGCTAAAACTTACTTCAAATATGATGTTTCTTCTGTGAAGATGAAGACGTATCCTGACAACTCTCGTCCTCTGCTGCTCTAAAAATGCGCGCGTGCTGACGAACGTTTTTTTTTTTTTTTTTTTTAATCAGCATTAGCAACTCCCAATAAAATTTTGGGGTGGCACCCGGGGTGGCCAATCGCATGTCAGGGGTGTCCAGTGCCACCCCGGACCCCCCTCTGCTCCGCCACTGGAATAACATATTTGGAATAACATCCTGGTGAGTTACTACTTGATTATATTCTACTCATCAATCAGTTTATAACATCTAATTGCATTTTCTTTTGCTGTTCTCAACATAACAATCAGATCTAACTGAGCAGAGAAAAGCAAATGTTAAAAAGTCAAGAGCCCAACTAAAAGCAAACACTGATCACTATAATGGTGACATCAAACCAAACTATTATTTTCAATAAATAATCAACATCTTAACCTCAGTTAATTTTCAATAAGAACTTTTGTAGACGTCTACCAGAAATAAAGTAAATCTGGTTAGTAATAAGTGAAGCTGGTAATGCTGTTTGTGGAGTTGTGTAATCAGATCTTAAGAGATTTACTGTACTGTATTTGCAGTTGATTTCATTTAAGGCTGTGGCTGCAAGTAGTTCTTGTGTTTCTCTTGTCTTCAGTGATTCTGCTTATTAAAATCAGGTGTTCATCAATGCTCAATCATTATTCAATCAATTAATTATTTCATTAACTCCAACACTGATTCAGTGTTACATTTAACAGCCTGTAGTGTGCACACTGAGCAGTGTTCATTTCATCTGGGCAAGCCCATCTGGGGCCACCATGGAAACCTTGGACAAAACTGGCTGGGTCCCAGTTAGATAGCCCAGGTCAAACCAATGTGGGCCCCACATGACTGTGTTGGCTGGGTAATGATTACGGATCAGGACAAGATACGGGGTGAAAGTCCACCCGAAGCGATTTCAACCGAGGAGGAGGTCCGGCCGGGGACGCCATGCAGTGTGTATCCGAAATCTTGCAGCCGCAATGTAAGCCGAAATGTGAAAGCCGGGCTCAATTCTACACGCCCTTTGATATGGGTGCGTTAGGTGGGAGGAGTCTGCTTGGGTCACTGTGTCGCCTCCTAATCTGCCATTTCTAGTTTTGACTCTGAAGTGTGTGGTGTAGAGCTAGGGAATTTGTTTACCTGAAACCTTCATCAGCTTGAGGAGGTGCGTGTTAGGCGGGCGCTGACCGCGTGAGGCATCTTACCGGCGTACCCCAGATCTGTAATTTATGGTTTTGGTCTGAACAGATTTCGCTTACCTCCCTCACGAAGAGCTGCATAAAGAGCTTTGTTCTTCTTTAACACTGTAGAATCGAGTCTTTATTATTATTATTATTTTATTTTTTATTTTTTTATGTTTTATTTATTTTATTTTTTGTGTGTGTGTTCAGGTGGCAAACTCAGGAAAAGTCACCAAGTCTTGTACCGTTTAGAACAAGGGAAGTTTTATTATTATTATTTTTTTTTTAATCAAAATTATTTTGGCCACATTTGTCCGAGAGTTAACAACGTAAATTACCTCATTTTTTGATTTCATACGAGGGGGACCCGCGATTCGGAACGCAATTACACCACTGCCCCAGAGGTCCGTGCACGACACGACATGCAGTGTGTAGCCAAAATCTCGGAGAGGCTATCTTGCTTGCAGCCGCAGCGCAACGTAACCCGAAATTTGAAAGCCGGACTCCATTCTATAAATACTGAGCACTGATGGATATGAATGTCATTTTATTCTAAAACCAGAGGAGAACAATATCTACGGCATGGACACAGTTACTTTCAACTTGAGTGTTAAAGTGGAAGTACATATGACGAATGATGGGCGTGGACTTCAGTGGAGAGTAAGCACTGCCTTTAACTCTCCAACTCAGTTCAGTCTGAGCACCGTCTTCTACCTGCTTCGGCGTGTTTGGCAGTGGATCATACCACATAGAGTTGGAGATAACAACTGATTGGAACAAAGATGTGACAGCAGAGATTTCCCTTCCATTCATCCAGGATCCACACTCAGTGAGTCTGACGATGGGACTATTGACGGCGAAATCTGCAAAAGGGGATCGACAGACAATCTGACAGCCTGTCAATTTGACCAAGAAGACGAGAAGCCCTCAGCTGATCTGATCTCATCTCCTGAACTTTTTCACAACCTCTCCGAGTCATCCCGGACACTAATATATTCTGTAGTGGAACCATTCATTTGTGGCTCATCAACGATTATTGAGCTTTTAGCATGACTTTGTCAAAGATGTATATATTCTCTAATAAAATATCATAAAGTCCTTTATATCTCATCGATTTATTTCTAGTTGAAAATATCTGTTCGGTATCACTTAAAGCCTATATAATGCATTATAAAAGTATTAATTGTGCCTTGTAATACACCTTATATTGCATTGAGTTCACTTGAATAGTTGTAGCAGTTATTAGAATACGCCTTTGGAAAGAACAATGAAAAACTGCATGACAAACAGCCATTTTCAGATGTAACAACAAGGAATCTGTAAATATTATAATGCATTTTAACTTTTGTTACAATTATTTATGAAAAGATATGATGAATTATAACCAATACCTTTATAAAGGCAACAGGCATGTTTTACATGTATTGCGCACATAAACTAGGCCTGTTATTTTAGAAACGTGCGCTTAAGTGACGTTTTCTGGCGGGTTTCTCTCAGAATTATTGGTCTAATTAATTTTTATACTAAAATAAAGTGATGTATCATCATAGCAATGGACAAGAAAAATATAACCTCCCCTTTATGTGCCGTCGCTATTCAGGGAAAACAACCTCGGGGGAAATACATTGAATGCAATGTAAATCGCATGAATAAATGCGCGTTTGCTAAACGAAACAATGTAAATGTTTAATTTACCATTTCTATTGCCATTTTTTACATATAGGCCTTATAGACAAAATTGAAGTTTTGGAAATGAAAGGAAAAGTTAATGCTTTTCTCCGATTTTTCAATGTTTTTATCAGACATCACATTGCATGTCATTGTTTTTAAGTCGGCTATACATGTGCCTTTAAAAACTTTCAGGGCATTTAGTTTGTTTATTTTCAATCTCAATAAAACATTGCTTATATTAATTTAACTGTAGAGTAACATATAGTCCTCCTATTAAGAACAGAACTAACTGTCCGAGACAATGTTCTCTATGGTTCAAGGGATCAGACAAACGTGGGGAAGGGCTTAAAAATACACTTAATAACATCTTAAGAAATCAGAAAATGTAGACTACAGAGATTTAATGAGGGTAAGGGAAAGAAAATATCATTAGCTCATGGCCCTTACAGGTAGCCCTAAAATCTGCCTTTGTCTTTTGATTATCTTCATGCGCTGAAATGTTTCTAAATAACGCATTTTATGATTCTATTACACGATCATCTCTCAGCCTCGAGCTCGGGTACTGCTCTCTCAGTGGCGGGCTCGGGGAACTGCGCTCTCAGCTTCGTGCTCTGGAACCGCGAAACGAAACTTAATTCCGCCCCTTCACCGGCGGAGGTCTGTGCCGTGAAGTGTTGCCGCGCACACTGACTCCTGAACGGATCCGCAAAACAGGTCCGGGACGGAGGCCACTTGACGGCGCAACGGATCCAGAACAGATAGCCTAATGATTACGGATCAGGTCAAGATACGGGGTGAAAGTCCACCCGAAGCGATTTCAACCGAGGAGGAGGTCCGGCCGGGGACGCCATGCAGTGTGTATCCGAAATCTTGCAGCCGCAATGTAAGCCGAAATGTGAAAGCCGGGCTCAATTCTACACGCCCTTTGATATGGGCGCGTTAGGTGGGCGGAGTCTGCTTGGGTCACTGTGTCGCCTCCTAATCTGCCATTTCTAGTTTTGACTCTGAAGTGTGTGGTGCAGAGCTAGGGAATTTGTTTACCTGAAACCTTCATCAGCTTGAGGAGGTGCGTGCGGGCGCTGACCGCGTGAGGCATCTTACCGGCGTACCCCAGATCTGTAATTTATGGTTTTGGTCTGAACAGATTTCGCTTACCTCCCTCACGAAGAGCTGCATAAAGAGCTTTGTTCTTCTTTAACACTATAGAATCGAGTCTTTATTATTATTATTATTATTATTTTATTTTTTATTTTTTTATGTTTTATTTATTTAATTTTTTTGTGTGTGTGTTCAGGTGGCAAACTCAGGAAAAGTCACCAAGTCTTGTACCGTTTAGAACAAGGGAGGTTTTTTTTTTTTTTTTTTTTAATCAAAATTATTTTGGCCACATTTGTCCGAGGGTTAACAACGTAAATTACCTCATTTTTTTGATTTCATACGAGGGGGACCCGCGATTCGGAACGCAATTACGCCACTGCCCCAGAGGTCCGTGCACGACACGACATGCAGTGTGTAGCCGAAATCTCGGAGTGGCTATCTTGCAGCCGCAGCGCAACGTAACCCGAAATTTGAAAGCCGGACTCCATTCTATAAATACTGAGCACTGATGGATATGAATGTCATTTTATTCTACAAAAACCAGAGGAGAACAATATCTACGGCATGGACACAGTTACTTTCAACTTGAGTGTTAAAGTGGAAGTGCATATGACGAATGATGGGCGTGGACTTCAGTGGAGAGTAAGCACTGCCTTTAACTCTCCAACTCAGTTCAGTCTGAGCACCGTCTTCTACCTGCTTCGGCGTGTTTGGCAGTGGATCATACCACATAGAGTTGGAGATAACAACTGATTGGAACAAAGATGTGACAGCAGAGATTTCCCTTCCATTCATCCAGGATCCACACTCAGTGAGTCTGATGATGGGACTATTGACGGCGAAATCTGCAAAAGGGGATCGACAGACAATCTGACAGCCTGTCAATTTGACCAAGAAGACGAGAAGCCCTCAGCTGATCTGATCTCATCTCCTGAACTTTTTCACAACCTCTCCGAGTCATCCCGGACACTAATATATTCTGTAGTGGAACCATTCATTTGTGGCTCATCAACGATTATTGAGCTTTTAGCATGACTTTGTCAAAGATGTATATATTCTCTAATAAAATATCATAAAGTCCTTTATATCTCATCGATTTATTTCTAGTTGAAAATATCTGTTCGGTATCACTTAAAACCTATATAATGCATTATAAAAGTATTAATTGTGCCTTGTAATACACCTTATATTGCATTGAGTTCACTTGAATAGTTGTAGCAGTTATTAGAATTCGCCTTTGGAAAGAACAATGAAAAACTACATGACAAACAGCCATTTTCAGATGTAACAACAAGGAATCTGTAAATATTAGAATGCATTTTAACTTTTGTTACAATTATTTATGAAAAGATATGATGAATTATAACCAATACCTTTATAAAGGCAACAGGCCTACATGTTTTACATGTATTGCGCACATAAACTATAGGCCTGTTATTTTAGAAACGTGCGCTTAAGTGACGTTTTCTGGCGGGTTTCTCTCAGAATTATTGGTCTAATTAATTTTTATACTAAAATAAAGTGATGTATCATCATAGCAATGGACAAGAAAAATATAACCTCCCCTTTATGTGCCGTCGCTATTCAGGGAAAACAATCTGTACCTCGGGGGAAATACATTGAATGCAATGTAAATCGCATGAATAAATGCGCGTTTGCTAAACGAAACAATGTAAATGTTTAATTTACCATTTCTATTGCCATTTTTTACATATAGGCCTTATAGACAAAATTGAAGTTTTGGAAATGAAAGGAAAAGTTAATGCTTTTCTCCGATTTTTCAATGTTTTTATCAGACATCACATTGCATGTCATTGTTTTTAAGTCGGCTATACATGTGCCTTTAAAAACTTTCAGGGCATTTAGTTTGTTTATTTTCAATCTCAATAAAACATTGCTTATATTAATTTAACTGTAGAGTAACATGAATTTGGGGATATTCCTATAGTCCTCCTATTAAGAACAGAACTAACTGTCCGAGACAATGTTCTCTATGGTTCAAGGGATCAGACAAACGTGGGGAAGGGCTTAAAAATACACTTAATAACATCTTAAGAAATCAGAAAATGTAGACTACAGAGATTTAATGAGGGTAAGGGAAAGAAAATATCATTAGCTCATGGCCCTTACAGGTAGCCCTAAAATCTGCCTTTGTCTTTTGATTATCTTCATGCGCTGAAATGTTTCTAAATAACGCATTTTATGATTCTATTACACGATCATCTCTCAGCCTCGAGCTCGGGTACTGCTCTCTCAGTGGCGGGCTCGGGGAACTGCGCTCTCAGCTTCGTGCTCTGGAACCGCGAAACGAAACTTAATTCCGCCCCTTCACCGGCGGAGGTCTGTGCCGTGAAGTGTTGCCGCGCACACTGACTCCTGAACGGATCCGCAAAACAGGTCCGGGACGGAGGCCACTTGACGGCGCAACGGATCCAGAACAGATAGCCTAATGATTACGGATCAGGTCAAGATACGGGGTGAAAGTCCACCCGAAGCGATTTCAACCGAGGAGGAGGTCCGGCCGGGGACGCCATGCAGTGTGTATCCGAAATCTTGCAGCCGCAATGTAAGCCGAAATGTGAAAGCCGGGCTCAATTCTACACGCCCTTTGATATGGGCGCGTTAGGTGGGCGGAGTCTGCTTGGGTCACTGTGTCGCCTCCTAATCTGCCATTTCTAGTTTTGACTCTGAAGTGTGTGGTGCAGAGCTAGGGAATTTGTTTACCTGAAACCTTCATCAGCTTGAGGAGGTGCGTGCGGGCGCTGACCGCGTGAGGCATCTTACCGGCGTACCCCAGATCTGTAATTTATGGTTTTGGTCTGAACAGATTTCGCTTACCTCCCTCACGAAGAGCTGCATAAAGAGCTTTGTTCTTCTTTAACACTATAGAATCGAGTCTTTATTATTATTATTATTATTATTATTATTTTATTTTTTATTTTTTTATGTTTTATTTATTTTATTTTTTTGTGTGTGTGTTCAGGTGGCAAACTCAGGAAAAGTCACCAAGTCTTGTACCGTTTAGAACAAGGGAGGTTTTTTTTTTTTTTTTTTTTTTAATCAAAATTATTTTGGCCACATTTGTCCGAGGGTTAACAACGTAAATTACCTCATTTTTTTGATTTCATACGAGGGGGACCCGCAATTCGGAACGCAATTACGCCACTGCCCCAGAGGTCCGTGCACGACACGACATGCAGTGTGTAGCCGAAATCTCGGAGAGGCTATCTTGCAGCCGCAGCGCAACGTAACCCGAAATTTGAAAGCCGGACTCCATTCTATAAATACTGAGCACTGATGGATATGAATGTCATTTTATTCTACAAAAACCAGAGGAGAACAATATCTACGGCATGGACACAGTTACTTTCAACTTGAGTGTTAAAGTGGAAGTGCATATGACGAATGATGGGCGTGGACTTCAGTGGAGAGTAAGCACTGCCTTTAACTCTCCAACTCAGTTCAGTCTGAGCACCGTCTTCTACCTGCTTCGGCGTGTTTGGCAGTGGATCATACCACATAGAGTTGGAGATAACAACTGATTGGAACAAAGATGTGACAGCAGAGATTTCCCTTCCATTCATCCAGGATCCACACTCAGTGAGTCTGATGATGGGACTATTGACGGCGAAATCTGCAAAAGGGGATCGACAGACAATCTGACAGCCTGTCAATTTGACCAAGAAGACGAGAAGCCCTCAGCTGATCTGATCTCATCTCCTGAACTTTTTCACAACCTCTCCGAGTCATCCCGGACACTAATATATTCTGTAGTGGAACCATTCATTTGTGGCTCATCAACGATTATTGAGCTTTTAGCATGACTTTGTCAAAGATGTATATATTCTCTAATAAAATATCATAAAGTCCTTTATATCTCATCGATTTATTTCTAGTTGAAAATATCTGTTCGGTATCACTTAAAACCTATATAATGCATTATAAAAGTATTAATTGTGCCTTGTAATACACCTTATATTGCATTGAGTTCACTTGAATAGTTGTAGCAGTTATTAGAATTCGCCTTTGGAAAGAACAATGAAAAACTACATGACAAACAGCCATTTTCAGATGTAACAACAAGGAATCTGTAAATATTAGAATGCATTTTAACTTTTGTTACAATTATTTATGAAAAGATATGATGAATTATAACCAATACCTTTATAAAGGCAACAGGCCTACATGTTTTACATGTATTGCGCACATAAACTATAGGCCTGTTATTTTAGAAACGTGCGCTTAAGTGACGTTTTCTGGCGGGTTTCTCTCAGAATTATTGGTCTAATTAATTTTTATACTAAAATAAAGTGATGTATCATCATAGCAATGGACAAGAAAAATATAACCTCCCCTTTATGTGCCGTCGCTATTCAGGGAAAACAATCTGTACCTCGGGGGAAATACATTGAATGCAATGTAAATCGCATGAATAAATGCGCGTTTGCTAAACGAAACAATGTAAATGTTTAATTTACCATTTCTATTGCCATTTTTTACATATAGGCCTTATAGACAAAATTGAAGTTTTGGAAATGAAAGGAAAAGTTAATGCTTTTCTCCGATTTTTCAATGTTTTTATCAGACATCACATTGCATGTCATTGTTTTTAAGTCGGCTATACATGTGCCTTTAAAAACTTTCAGGGCATTTAGTTTGTTTATTTTCAATCTCAATAAAACATTGCTTATATTAATTTAACTGTAGAGTAACATGAATTTGGGGATATTCCTATAGTCCTCCTATTAAGAACAGAACTAACTGTCCGAGACAATGTTCTCTATGGTTCAAGGGATCAGACAAACGTGGGGAAGGGCTTAAAAATACACTTAATAACATCTTAAGAAATCAGAAAATGTAGACTACAGAGATTTAATGAGGGTAAGGGAAAGAAAATATCATTAGCTCATGGCCCTTACAGGTAGCCCTAAAATCTGCCTTTGTCTTTTGATTATCTTCATGCGCTGAAATGTTTCTAAATAACGCATTTTATGATTCTATTACACGATCATCTCTCAGCCTCGAGCTCGGGTACTGCTCTCTCAGTGGCGGGCTCGGGGAACTGCGCTCTCAGCTTCGTGCTCTGGAACCGCGAAACGAAACTTAATTCCGCCCCTTCACCGGCGGAGGTCTGTGCCGTGAAGTGTTGCCGCGCACACTGACTCCTGAACGGATCCGCAAAACAGGTCCGGGACGGAGGCCACTTGACGGCGCAACGGATCCAGAACAGATAGCCTAATGATTACGGATCAGGTCAAGATACGGGGTGAAAGTCCACCCGAAGCGATTTCAACCGAGGAGGAGGTCCGGCCGGGGACGCCATGCAGTGTGTATCCGAAATCTTGCAGCCGCAATGTAAGCCGAAATGTGAAAGCCGGGCTCAATTCTACACGCCCTTTGATATGGGCGCGTTAGGTGGGCGGAGTCTGCTTGGGTCACTGTGTCGCCTCCTAATCTGCCATTTCTAGTTTTGACTCTGAAGTGTGTGGTGCAGAGCTAGGGAATTTGTTTACCTGAAACCTTCATCAGCTTGAGGAGGTGCGTGCGGGCGCTGACCGCGTGAGGCATCTTACCGGCGTACCCCAGATCTGTAATTTATGGTTTTGGTCTGAACAGATTTCGCTTACCTCCCTCACGAAGAGCTGCATAAAGAGCTTTGTTCTTCTTTAACACTATAGAATCGAGTCTTTATTATTATTATTATTTTATTTTTTATTTTTTTATGTTTTATTTATTTAATTTTTTTGTGTGTGTGTTCAGGTGGCAAACTCAGGAAAAGTCACCAAGTCTTGTACCGTTTAGAACAAGGGAGGTTTTTTTATTTTTATTTTATTTTTTTAATCAAAATTATTTTGGCCACATTTGTCCGAGGGTTAACAACGTAAATTACCTCATTTTTTTGATTTCATACGAGGGGGACCCGCAATTCGGAACGCAATTACGCCACTGCCCCAGAGGTCCGTGCACGACACGACATGCAGTGTGTAGCCGAAATCTCGGAGAGGCTATCTTGCAGCCGCAGCGCAACGTAACCCGAAATTTGAAAGCCGGACTCCATTCTATAAATACTGAGCACTGATGGATA